ACAAATAGAAATATATTTTCCAATAAATAACCGTGTGCAAAATGAAAAATACATAAACAAATTTCTTTTGGTGTATGGCACTAAGAAAAATAAAAAAAAATATGAAGATGAATTAAACGAAACAAATAGAAATATAATATTTTCCAATAAATAATCGTGTGCAAAATGAAAAATACATAAATCAAATTTCTTTTGGTTTATGGCGCTAAGAAAAATAAAAATAAAATAAAAAACAAAAAAAAAACAAAAAAGAAAAAAAGAACTACCACCATCACAACCAGGTCATCTTGGCACAGAATCCCGGATGTGTGTAACACACCTTTTTGCACGTTCGTAGTTAGTTAATTACTAATTTATTTACTTACTTTAACTTCACTTGTGCGCAATGTGCGTGTTCTATTTGCGTGTATGCATGTGGGAGGAGGAGGAGGAGGAGGTGGGTGGGGGGTGGAGGAGGGTGGTGGAAAGAATAAGAGGGGGAAGAAAATTTCACGTACGGATTCTGTGATGTCTACCAAGTGCCAAGCACAAACTACAGTCAGTGTATTCAACACTTGCGACCAGTTAACATGGTCACCGACCTCTTTCTCAAACATAAACTGAAGAATTCATTTTAATTCTTTTTTATTTTTTATTATTATTATTATTATCTTTCTCTTTAAATCTATCTTCTCTTTCTCTTTCTGCTTTTATTCGAGATTCGAGATACATACGAGAATAATATCGTATCGATATCGTTTATTTGTGTTCTTATTCTCACGTGTGTCTGTCTGTCCGTGTGTGCTGCAAGTGTTGTGGTGTTTATGGTGGTAGTGGTGATTTCTTTCACTGTTTTTGAAAAAAAAAAACAGAAAATTATTATTAAATCAAACATAAAAGGATATTTTAATTAATTCTATTTTATTGTTTGTTAAATTTTAAGAAATTCCTAGGTGAGAATTGAAAATCGATCTTGAGAGTAATCGAGAGTTCGAGATTTAAAATGTTTCTTTTTTTGTTTTTTTGTTTTATCAAATCTTACAATTTGATTTTCAAAAAAGTAATAACCATTGGAAACGTCGATTGAAAGGAAAGATTTTTTTTTTCGAATTTTCGTAAATGTATTTTTTATATATATATATTTTTTTTTCAATTAATAATCCTATTAAAATCCTATTTTAAATAATCTAAAATATGGTTTGAACATTTTAATGGTTTATCTTGTGATAAATTATACAAATTCGTTGGAAATATTTATTTATCTATCTGTGTGTGTGTGTGTGTTCATCTTCTTTAAAAACGATAAGAATAAAAAAAGATTTTCTTATATATTAAAATGTTATTTTTTTCAAAATTGTATATTATATTTTTTTTTTTCTATTACATTTAATAATATTAAATTAATTTATTCATTGAGAAAATTGCTTTAATATTAATTTATATATTAAATATAATTTATTGAAATAAATATAATTGAGAAATTGAATTATAATAAAAAAAAAAATAAAAAAAAATATATCATAAAATATAATTTTAATGAATATAATGAAATTTAATATGATGAAATTAATGAATTTAAATTATATATAATGACAATTATAATTTAAAAAGTTTCATTTATTGAAATAAAAATAACATATAATTTATATTATTTCAAAATATATCTTTTTCATTTTTCTTTCTTTTCTTTTTTTTTTTTTTGTTTTTTTTTTCTCGGAAAGAAATCAAAGCCAAGAAATAATGTGCGTAATTCGTGATTATGATTAAAAATATATCCCACCTACGTTAAAAATCTACTAGCTAAATTTAATTATACTTAATATACATTTTCCATTCGTTTTTAATCTATTTTAGAATTTAAAATCAAATTGACGATGATATTCTTTTTTTTTTTTTTTTTTCTTTGAAATTATTTATATCGACGATCATATTCGATAACCCCTTTCTTATCTGATAAGAAATCATAACTCTAACGCGTATTCTTATAAATATATAGTAATACACAAGGGGACAATGAAAATAATATTAATATTATTCACAAATATCGGGAATAATATTTAAATCATTGTTTTCAATTTGATAACAGCTTATTTTTATTTTTTTTTTAATTCTTTTTTTATTTCTTTTTTAATAACAGAGATGTATACACATAATTTGTACGAATATATTAATACGAAATTAAATATGAAATTAAAACAATAAAAATAAAATAAAATAAAATAAAATAAAATAAAATACAAAAACAATTGCAACAAATGCAAAAATCTTGATTTGTTTGTAAAAAAAATAATAAAATAAAATTAAAAGAAAAATATAATAATAATAATAATAATAATAATTCGGAATTGCCACTCCTTGGAGAACAACTCACGCCATAATCTATCCCTACTATTTTTAATAATAAATAAAATAAAATAAAATAAAATACAAAAACAATTGCAACAAATGCAAAAATCTTGATTTGTTTGTAAAAAAAATAATTAAATTAAATTAAAAGAAAAACAATAATAATAATAATAATAATAATTCGGAATTGCCACTCCTTGGAGAACAACTCACGCCATAATCTATCCCTACTATTTCTAATAATAGTTACACGTTCGCTTGCATGCGTCGATCTATAAACTACAGAACCCGTTTCTTCTATATATGTGTGTCGTCTTTGAAAAAGAAATAAAATAATAACTATTTATTTTATTTATTAATAATAAAAAAGAATAAATGATAAATAAATAAAGGAAAATATTCTCTTGCAATAAGAGTGTTGTGTTCATCAAACTATTACACAAATGTTTGTTTCTTTTCAACTACTATTGCACAAACACATTTATATTATTAAAACAATATAAAACATATGTCAGTTCTTACATCCATAATAATATACATATATATATATATACACACACATAAACACGTCGTGAAATATTCTAATTATAATCTTGTTTACAAAAAATAAAAAAAAAATAATAAATTAATAAATTATTTATATTTAGTATATTATAATTAATATATTATTTATATTTATATATTATTATTATTATTAATATTACATATTTGTAATATTAAAAAAAAAAATAAAATAATAATAAAATCTTTTTTACAAAAAAAAAGAAAAAAAAAGAAATTATTTACGTTGAAAAATAAAAAGAAAGAAACACAAATAGAATTTATTTATTTCCCACGTATAATTCGTTTTGATCGTTAATACGTTAAATAAAAAAAAAAAGAAAATTTTTATAATGATATTATGCATATATATATATATAAAAACTAAAGAAATGTGTTTTTGTTTATTGCACTTTGCGCTGAATGATAATATTGCGAAATGTATTTCACGATGAGGAATATATTTACGCGAGAATAAACCATTTCCCGTCCAATAGTAATTAAATCTTTATTTAATTTTAGCTTATTAAAATAAGACACAAAAAAAAAACTACTCACGACGATCGATGTTCCAACGGTCAGATTTTATCATAGGAAGTTTTTAAAAAAAGACGATAACCAAAGTGGAATTTCTAAAAAAAACTTTTATTCTATAGGAATATCACGTGTATAATATATAAATAAATATATATACATATATTGATATATAAGATGGTACTGGGAAATGATAATGAATATTTAACAGGATATAAACGTAATTCCGTAACCGAGTGGTTGCAGAAAACCGGTCAATTAAAAGATACTGGTAAATCATTCTTCATGTTGCTTATTTATTTATTTATTTTTTTTTTTTTATTATTATTATTATTTTTTATTTCCTCTTATTCATTTCTAACAAAAATATATTATTTCATTTTATAAAATATTGATACACAGAATTAGATTTTCTTTCAAGTATAATTTCTTATTATTTGTTTAATATGTTATGTAATATAAATAAAATGTGAAAAAAAGGGTTATATTTTTTTAATTTAAATTGAATTTTAATATTTTTTATATACACAATTTGAATTTTATATTATATAATAAATATATTTTTATATTATTTTATATATTATATTATATATAATATTTTATTTATATATATATATATATTTAATTAATACATTTTTTTAAATACATTTAACTAAATACATTTTGTGTGTGAATTTAAATTGCAAATATATAAATATCATTTACACAAATAATTTTTTAATTTTCAACGATCATTCCTTTTTTATTTTATTTTATTTTATTTTATTTAGTTTCATTCTCTTTTATTAAATAAATTATTGATAATATTGTTAAGTATGGTTCATATGTGTTTTTATGCATCTGTTATTGCATAATAAACATATTGAATAAAAAAACAAATGAATTCTGTGTATCAATGTTTTAAATTAAAGTTAACAGTTAATTTAGCTTCGAACAAATTTTCTAGAACACGTTTGTTTATTATTCCAGGTAGCGAAAGTCCTGTTTATGGCTTGGAAGGTAGCGTAACAGGAGCAAGTGGTGGTGGTGGTACTTCATTAAGACTAGCTCCGCAAGAATTACCAAATGAAATTTCAGCGCCATACGAAGTACCGCAATTTCCGATTGAGCAGATCGAGAAGAAGTTGCTCATTCAAAGACAACTTACCGTTAAGTGAGTAGAATCATTCAATATTATCAATATTAATTTTATTTCATTCTTCATCGTTACATGAAACATTTCTTTTTGTAATTATGAAATATTTAAAAAAAAGAAGAACAAGAAGAAATAACTATTACGATTGTTAGAAAGGGTTGTAACCTTGAAACAAACCGATCGATTCCACGGTCTTGCTTCGGAATTCATGAAAACTCAACACAAGAATCTTGAAACGAGGTCGCACCTTTATCCTGTCACGTTTAATGTGTGTAGACACGTTACGTCACGCTGTTTTCTTCATGGTGACGATGATAATGATAACGATGATGATGATGATCATCATCATGATAACTCATAATGATAACGTAAAGAAGAAACAAAAAGATATAATCATGCACATATATACATGAGTGAACATTAAAAAATAAGAAGAAGAAGAAGAAATAATAATAGGATACCTTTTAGATTTTCTTTCAAATTTATGCAAACCAATTGTATATTATAAATACGTGTTATAAATAGCATATACTATCGCAAATACTACGATCTAGGATACTTGTTCGTTTGTATATCTATCATTCTACTTCCGCGTGTGTTGCAAAGTTTCGATCAATAATTCAGCACGGAGCCTGCATGATTAAGCTTAGACTACTTGACGTAACTTTGCTTATCTACATTTACACATCGTCGTCATACGTGTATATAATAGGTGTATTTCATTCTTCGAAGGTAACAACGCGTAAATCAATTTTAACACCATAATTATAACCTTATTATTTGTCTTGTTTTTTTTTTTTTTTTTTTTTTTTTTTAACTGTATAAATTTATAATTAATATTCGTTGACAGGTATCATCAGTTAGAACGATAAAAAA